ATTTGGGTAGTTTGAGGGTTAAACCGCTGGACTCCAATTTGGTTAACAACTGTTCGAGTTGTTTATAGTGGGACTGTCGGTCATCGGACCATAACCAGATGTTATCTGAGATGTTTGCACATCTAGGAATGCCCTTGATAAGTTCATGGATTATCTCGTGGAAGTATTCGGCAGAGGGTGATGCTCCCATTATCAAACGCTTGAAACGGTGGGGGCCCTCGTCGGGGGTGGTAATCCGTCTTTGTGTGGAAATGCTCCACCGCAGTTTCGGCAGGTTTTCTTTCCGTCCGGTGGTGGTTTTCGTCTGCGATTGAATGCACCCCGTGGTTGCGATGCTGGTGGCTGGCGGTTTCTTTCCAATGCGTTTAGGTCTGTGTTTGCGTTTTCTAGTCGTTGCGCTTGTTGATCCGTAATTTCTAGCGAAGTTCCGTGCGCTAATGAGGCTTTTAAGTCCATGCTTTCACGAAGGGCTTTCTTTCGCAATCTTGGGTCTCGTGTCTTGTGGATGATTTGTATTTTAATCTCTTCGTCTTCGTTCGCGAATTCACAGTCTGTTGCCTTGGTTTTGAGTCTTCGATAATACGCAGTTAGAGTCTCGTTAGTTTCTTGTGTCAACTCGCGAAATTCGAATATAGCTACATCTTTGTTTCCACGCGGAGTGAAATACTGCGTTAAACTGTCGACGGCTGATTCATACGTTGTACCGGTGTCTGGCAGAATGTCGAAGATATCGTTTGTTGCTTCGCCAACGTATGTCAAGAGAAGACCTCGCCGGATGGTCGAGTCGAACTCTCGAAGGCTGATGAGTAGGTTTTCAAAACGCCGTATCCATTTCTTCCATCGTTGAGACACTGTTGCTGAATCTGTGATTGGGTCAAATGGGGGAAAAGGGGGTAGACCACTTCTAGGAGCGTTAAAACTTTGTGTTGTAGGGTTTGGTTGTTTTGATGCCGGTTGGTCTTTCCCTGAAGATGTAGCACTTTCATCATCACTCATGTTTGTTAGTTATCCTCGTCGCCACTTTTGTATCTTGCTTGTTTGGGTTATAGAGACCTCTAGCATATATGCTACTCGCACTAGTTGTAATCAAAGACTAATTTATTGATAGAATTAAGTAAATATATATACAAGCATTGACAGGCAATTAGGATATATGATATGGGTGTGCGTGTGAAAGGTTAAGCCTGGAATGAATTAAGTACAGGATACAACAGAACTTTAAGTTTACATTTAATACTTCATAATTACAATGTCTATACTGCTATTTTTTGAATTTGTAAAGAACACAGAGACAGAGTATTTTATCAAAAGATGGTGCAGGTGAGAGTCGAAACACTGTTATTCATACAGAAATATTTCGCGTTCTAGATTGAATTTTAAAATATCCCCCGAAAAGAAGAATACAGGGTTTATCAGAATTTGTCAGTTTTGGAGTAAAAAGTTTAATATCGAATGGCATGGAGGGAGTAAAGCAAGATTGTTATTTTCTCACTCACTTTGTTTCGAATTTCGGGTACTCTGATTGAAGGACGCAAAATGTAACCAAATGCGCTGATTGGCTAACATTATTCACCCTTATTTTCCAGCAGACGTGTTTTAATGGCAAAATATTGATCTCGCCCAGGCGATATCCCATCTTCATGATTCGCTATTTTGCGAAGCAAAGCTGGCAAATGCAGTACAACTTCAAGTTATCAGTAGCCTGCTCACAGACGTTGTTATTCTTACGTCAAGCGACGAATTACTACCGTCTGCTTACCCGAGCGCCAAACTGAATTCCGCTACGTCGACCAATCAGAATTTACCTTCCAAATTCTGGAAAGTGACGTCATTGATTTAGGAGCGGAATAAATATTAAATATATATTTTGAAAGCAGTCGTCGGTTGAATTTTGGTCAAAATTGCACATAATACTTGTCCAGGTAATAAAATGCACCATCAATGATCAGATTTGGATATTAAAGATGTTCGGTTATATTTAAAACGCGGACAGGATTGGCATATTTAACATACTGTATGAAGCTAGACAGGCGAGACAGCATCAAATGCCGAATATATTTCGCTGAAATTTGAACTTTTGACGGATGTTTATCTTTATAAGACAACAGAACTTGGAAGACAGAAAATTTGATATAATACTGTGGCTTAGAAAGCGAAATATTAGCTTCAAAGTAAACTAATTTGCTGTTTGAACAACCACTTCTGAATGTAAACGGTAAACACAACACAAACCCGAGAAACTTGTATTAAAATTGCACCGTGATGAATTTTCCAATTCGCCCAAACTTTGAAACGTTTATACTCTAACTTGGCTATACTTTTCTACATGACAATGAGAGCTTAATCTTTCGAAGTTTTCGTCGAAGTCATGGCGTATAGGAAGTATCAACAGCAACATTTCGACATATCCTGATATACTCGAGTTTCCCGATTGATTGTTTGTCATTGACATTGTTAACAAAAATTTAAATTCCGCCTGCTGCATTGCTTTAGCACTTCATATACACCAATTGTTTGCTGAACATGCGAGAAGATGATCACAATATTATTCTACGTAAACATCGTGAAGTTCAACGCAATAGTTTCCAAAATATATCCACGCAAGTAAACAAATTTCAAGTTTCAACGCAAACAATATATTCCAATGCATGTGCAAGGGCTTTCCCCAGTAGCTAATCTCTCAATAAGGCGGCTTCCAATTGGCTCTAGCTCTTTTGAACACTGCCAGATGATTGGCTCCTAAAACAAAGGGAATTGAATATGCAGCTCGGGTAAGCAGACGGTAGTAATTCGTCGCTTGGCGTAAGAATAACAACGTCTGTGAGCAGGCTAGGTTATCAGTGGAAGGAAAGGATAAACATTGTCTGAATTATATTTTAAGTTACGAGGGACATACATCTGCTTGATAATGCAGCTAATTTAAACACGGCGCGACTCAATTAACCTTTCTCACGAAGGCCTTCAAAGTCCGCCGTTTTTGGGGTACTGTCTGCCCTCGTCAAGAATCTAAACAATTCAAACGTGAACAGTGACTTTTAGAAGTTATAACTGTAACTGTAAAATTACCATTATACAAACAACTATACAATACTAAAGAGTTGTAATTCGTGGTGGGAAGACTCTCAAACTTGGGAGAGGCAGTACCCCCGAAAAAATGCCGGGAAAATAGGCCGCGAGAAAGGCTGATTTGCAGAGATTTTAACAGAGTTAAAGATCTCATCTCATATTAAATATTTTGGCTTCAAAATTGGCTGATTTAATACATATATGTCATTTACCAGCTGGGAGATCCGTACGGAAAAAATATTTTCCCGAGGTCTCAGACGTGGCCGGAGACCGAAGGACGCTTCTGAGACAGAGGGAAAATAATTTTCAAGTACGGCGGACCTTATAACGGTAAATGATGTACTTATTTTTTGCACGATGCTGAATGAAATTTATAAAAAACTCCAGTGTTGCGAACTAGGATTTAGATAGTTGTGATTGTTACCTTAGTTCAAGCCTGGCTGAAATATTGCTATAAAACGACACGATGAAAAGTATTGTTTATTTATAGATGTTGTAATACACAAATGCTTGTCTACTCAACAAGAAAATAATAAGGTAAACTCATCAAAACTATTTAATTTCCTGATCAACAAATTCTACTTGCCGAAAACATTGTGTCCATGACAACATTTATACGTCAAAATATAGGACTGAAATAAGTCGACTATAGAAATCATGTTTAAACATGCCGTTTTAAAGTATTTTTAATTTTTTTTTTTTAAACATTTAGCACTGATATTTCGATAGTTATATGTAAAATACTTGGGGTTTTTTTCCGCATTTACGTCGGCAAGTACATCTCGGGCACTAAATGCATCGAAGTCAGTTCAGCCTATTTTCCCATCTCTAGTATCCATTGAGAGGTTTTGTTCAACTTTTTAGATATTTTTTTTAGTTTCAAAATCATCTTCACTCCTCGGTTTGTGATACGGAGTTCTCGTCAACTAATTAGAAGGCACCATTTATGTTGCAGACATATGGGATTACGGACGAGGAAAAGATGGTTCCGCAACGTCATAGATAACTACAGGGTGTATAAAAAAAAGGTAATCGAACTTCAGCGCGCTATTGTATCTGAATTACTCTGCGTATGAACGAGATTTTTTCACATTCGGAAAGATCTTTTTTTAGCTGTTGAATGATATCTTCTTCATGCCAAATGGATAAAAAATGAGCAAATACGAATCCGATAAAAAATGTTAGTCAGAATCGCATATTTTCACCGTTGAGTGTTGGGTCTAAATCCATTGAAAATGAACCCCCTTTAGGACTTAAGTTGATGGATTTCACTTCATTAAACTGCACACATATTCATAATTATTATTTAAGTAGGAATAAATCTTAGCTAAACTTTTTCTTTTGTTATGCATTGTTTTAATTAGGCACAGAGGTGAAAATATGCGATTTTAACTAACATTTTTAACCGGCCTCGTACATGCTAATTTTTTCTCCATTTGGAGTGAAAAGCATGTCATTCAATAGCTAAAAGCCTGATCTTTCCGAATAAGAAAAACAATTGTTCATACGGCGAGTGATTCACGTATAATAGCGCGTTGAAATTCGATTACCTTTTTTTAATACACCCTGTATAGGCAAGACAATACCCCCCCGCCCCCCCTTATACCACCTTCGGCTCGACTGATACAACTTACCTCAACTTTTTATCATTTCTTTATATCACAAAAGTTAAAACCTCAATAACTCATCCAATAACTATTTATTAATAACATATTCAAAAATGTTTGAGACAATTGCAGTTTTGACTTACGTCTTACAGCGAACCGTCCGCTGACAAAGTGTCCCTGCTTTGCCTTTGTTATAACACGTTTTACAACGCTAACTGTTTGAAAGTGTCACTGTTTCCAATTTAACAAACGGTAGAAGCCGTATTTTCGACACGAACTCAAATTTATACTTGATGTAGCATAGTATGAAGCAATCCGTGGCGTCATACGAGGATTGATTTCAGCTGAATCGTTGATTTACCCATTGTTTTTCCATCAATCAGATAAGTTTAATTGTGACAGATTTTTGAAATGTTGTTACGCAGGTTTTTGCAATGTTGGTACAGAATTGTGCACTGCTGTTTACGATTGAGAATTTTGTAATATTTTTAATAAATGCTTATGAAGTTAATACAATTCATTTAATGACACTGAGCTATATAATCATCCTAGCTGACAATACTAATATAATCACAAAGGTCTTTGAGACCAAACCTATTATACGTCACAGTCCTGTTAAATATTTACCTACGGTAAAGTTCAATTGAGAATAATTCCAGTCACTATAATCCAGTTCGAGATATTTCATATCACGAATAAAAACTGTTTCACTTCGGAATATTTCATATCACGATGAAAAAATGTTTTCAATGAAAGCATAAACTTCTTATCCAGTTAACATCAGGGTGATTTTGCAAAAATAAAAGGAAATTATCATCCAAGTCATTTTTACTTATCTTTAGTGGTTTTTCATAGATTGAGCTTTATGCAGAGCATAGTAAATTCCCTTCATTGCTAAAAGTTGTTGATGTGTACCACGTTCAACCACTCTTCCTTTACGGATCACACAAATGGCATCAGCGTATTGGATGGTAGATAATCTGTGAGCGATAACAAGAGTAGTTCGTCCAATACTAGCTTTATCCAGAGCTTGTTGAACCACCTGAGAAAGAAGACAAAACAATGGTTGATTCAGGTGTACAGTTGTGCAGTTCGTTTGATGGGGGTTAAGAATTTTGTGCTGTAAACCGTTATCGTTCGTTATAACATGTTGGTACAGGCAGACCTACGCGAGGAATTTAATTTTTCTATACATGTGTCACAAAGAAATGCAGCTGTGGCCCAGTAGCAAGAACTTAATTCTGCCTATGAGAAAAGTGAGGTCAAGATGGGAGGATTGACATCCTCAACGGGAGGATTGACAATGAAGGTCTGAACGGTCTTAATACCATTTTCCCCCAGCTAAGTCCAGTCTTTGTTTCTATAACGGACACTAAACAAGTTATCAGTTCATAAAGACATGCATATAGTGTTATTCTTTAAATCGATGTTAAAATACAAAATTTAGGCACTCTCTTTTATTTAATCAAGCACTATTCTATTTAATCAAAAATTTATTTAATCACTATTCTGTTTAATCACTATTCTGTTTAATCAATAAATTATCAGTGAAACAACGAAAATATTTTTTTTTTAAATTTTATTACAGCTATCATTACAAAATGTCGGTTTGTCAATGAATGAAGTTAAAATTAAAAAACGATAAAAACACAAACAGCTACAACTGGAATATTTAGTTAGCCACAATCAAATTGCTGAAGTAACTCTATGATCAATCAATAGATATAGAGAACTCATCACGTAATCATGCAATGAAAAATACATGCATTTATTAATCCCAAATAACCTTGGCATCTGCATGCAGTTTTGGTACCCCCGTATTCAATCATATATCGATAGCCTGTTGACTTTTCATCAATCTCACGAATTCAATATTATCTCAGGTTTCACGACCGTTTAATTAATTTCGCAGCAGAATAAATCATTTTGTCTTTATTGTCGTGACCGCTAGTGGCTAAGTATAGAGGCTATATAGTCGAGTATGGAGTATAAGCGCGCGGCCGTATATCCAATGACTATACACTGTATATAATGATATAGAACGCAAGTCAATTTAAAAGATTTTGGTTCGAATCACACAGTTATAATAAATATACTTTGCCATAGGGTTATCACATGTTACTTTTAGTCAATAGCTAAGTTTATATTTAATGACTTTAATGGAGGCGGATATTAACATGTAATAATTAGCATCACAGTGAATGACTTTGTGTTTGTTTCCTTCGCTCAGTTTACATATAAACTACAAGTGTTTGAAATTGTATTCGACCTGATATAGTAATAAATTTGACTTTAAAGTCCGTTGTGTGTGCGACTATGATATATAATTTAGAATGTTGCATAACCCTTGTTATAACCATTTCACAGCATTTTATGCGAGTTTAATATATTCTTTGTTATAAAAATCATCGTTTTGCCTTTGATAAAGAAAAAAAATGCTTACTTGGATTAATTGTAAATTGCTTGTGTAAATGGAGTTGGGAATACCTACTGACACGACAAAATACATTACACGTATTTCGGAGAAAACAGAACATACGTTCTGAAGTATTAATTAATAGGATTTTGAAAAACCTGGTGAAATTATAATTGAAAATAAGTAATTATTCACAACACCCACTTTCTAAGTCACAATCAATAGTCAGATCACAGTCTGGCAAAATTAGTACACATAATGATTATTTTGTGATCATAGGTAACGAGTGTTTTTCTTCAAACAGCTGAATTATTTCTATAACATGATAGCGGCGACGATGCTAATTTGTATGAGTCATTTAGAAAAAATTCAGAAAGTGGAAACAGTGTGTGATAAAAAGTAATTAAGTGATCCGAATCGCTGAGCATGTAATTATCTGCTTAGTGTTTTGGTTAAGCCCGACATGTCACATCCACCTATAGAAAATCAACGACCAGAACTAATTGCAAAAAAGTTGAGTCATCGTTCTGGCGAGGGTACATAAATATAGCAAAAAATCTCATTCAATCATTTATTGGACAAAGTTCCGCTGTTTAAGTCGTCGTGAAGTCATGCATCTGTGAAAAATTCTGTTGTAAAGTTAAAATCATGACGCTGCGTACTCGCACCAAATGTCAGGGGGCAAAATTCTCTTTGGTTTATTTTGAAGTAGACGAAACTTATTCAATAGTGGAAACGCGCAAGCTTCAGATGACTATGCCTGGAGCTCTCAAAGAACAAGGAAGGAAACTTAAGGTTAAGAGCGGCCGATATACGTCTTTGAGGCAGAGATTGTGGAACTAAATGGTAAGTATACTCTACGCAATGTTATAGATGGTGATAAAAACCTCAGAGATTATGCCCAGGCAAATGAATATAATTTCAAACGCCTGGTGATAATCTCGCAGGTTCAGAAATGGTAGCCTAAGCACATGCGTGAATGGAATTAATAGCACAATATATTATATATTGATATTATTTAATGTTGCTTATCGTAGATGATAAAGAGCGTTTGGAAGAAACGCTACAAGTAATTGAATGTGAAGAAACTTTCGAATTCGACAAAGATCCCTTTCCTGCGCCACAGCCGATCCCAGTAAATGAAAAGCCAAGCGAAGCTACAGCTGATGAAACGGCAAGCGAAGCTACAGCTGATGAAACGCCAAGCGAAGCTACAGCTGATGAAACGCCAAGCGAAGCTACAGCTGATAAAACGCTAAGCGAAGCTACATAATATAGAATATTATATAAACATTTCGAGAAATTTTACTGTATTTGAAATTGTTATTTAGTGAATTGAATGTAGATGCAGTTCTATGTAATATACTATAACCAGTTCGTTAAAATATCAATAAAATATTGAAGTATTTTATGTTTCGCAAGCAAGTTTCCGCACATTATTTCAGGCAAGCTCGCTGTAAATTTGAAGGCGTTGGATCGACTCCAAAAGTGTCATTATGAATAACGCTTTTGGGGTTGATACAACTCAGTGAAATATACAGTTAGCTACCACGGTTTTTGACTATGTCCATATGCCTAGTATATTAGTATAGACCAAATTTTGATCAGCCTTATAAAGCCTTCTTCAAGTACGCTTAGGCATAATAGTCTTTTTTAATTAAACTTGAATGCATTAGTGAGAACAAATTTATGAGAAGCACGTTCTCTCCTTTATCTGTTCTTATAGACTTGGTGAATGATTGTGGTTTTTTGTGTATTACTATTACGATTTACTCCATTCGCTCCATTTCTAACACCGCCAGCTTAGAGAACCAAAACAAAACTAATATTGGCATGGGCACAGTATTTCATTTTTTTTTATCAAAGGCAAAAGGGTGATTTTTAAAACAAAACAAAAAACTCACCTAAAATGCCGTGAAATGGGTTATGCAACATTCTATATATATCATATTCAACGACACAACGGACTTTAAAGTCAAATTTATTGCTATTGTAGTTTATACGTAAACCGAGCGAAGGAAACGAATACAAAGTATTTCACTGTCATGCTAATTACATTAAAGTCATTAGACATTAAATATAAACTTAGCTCTTGAATACAAACAACCTATTATAGCCCTATGGCAAAGTATATTTATCGTAATCAGAAAACATTCCTTGCTTCGAAAGAAGGATTTGAACCAAAATTTTTCAAATCGACTAGCACTCTATATAGTGTGGTCATTTGGCTACTCGATACTCGACTCAGCCACTGCTGCGAAATCTAAAGTTAAACGGCCGTGAAACCCAATATAATATTGAATTCATGAGAATGATGAAAAGTCAACAGGCTAGTAGCTACGTACGGATCTACAGTATATGATTGAATACGGGAGCACCGAAACTTGAAAATGAGCAGATGCGAAGGTTATTTGGGAGATGGCGTATTTATCATTAATTACGCGGTGAGTTACTTGAGCAATTTGATTGTGGTTGAAATATGTCAGCTCTGTTCGTGTTCGTGTTTGTGTTTTCAGCTCTGTTTGTTTGCGACCGTATATTTCCTCTAAGTTGGTAAAATTCAATCATTCCGATAAACCTTGGGTGACACCAGCCTTTAAAACCCATAAGAGATCGTCAGAAAGCATTCTACAGCAGCTACCTCCTCCGCAGGCGCTTAGGGAGCATTTCGGGCAGGTTCGGAAAATGCGGGTTGCAGGCGAGAGCGCCTGCCGAGTAATGCTTTCAAGATGGCGTATGCTATAAATCGAAATTTTCATTTTGACTTTACTATTATGACTTAATATACAATATACATACCAGCACTGATCTAATAGATCTAAATAATATTTAGAAATAGCATCCAGTGGTTTTGGCAGACTAAAAAGTACTTATAACTAGCCGCCGCTTTTCTATGACGATGGAGACTGTCTAATATAAAGTGTTTATACAAATTATGCCAATGCAAATACAACATCAACGATATTATATCCGCTTTCTATATATTTTGCGACTAAGCCTATGATAAGCCATTTCAAATACTTTAGATAAGATTCAAATATCAGTCTACATGAAACATTAAAAGCACAATTTGAAAGATAAATATGGTGAAATTATATTTGCATATTAAAAATATACATTTACAATGTAAATAGAAGTAATATAGCGTCTCATTGTTCGCTTGTTCTTTGTCTTTTGAGTATAATAACACAATGTCTGCATGTAGAATCTCCATTACCACAAAAATCTACATACCAAGTCCATTTCAGAAAACGATATATTGAGAGTATCCACATCGCTGCCGTCGAACGATGTGCACAACATATCAATTGTCAACATATGGCGTTATTCAAGCGTGTCCTGTTCATAGCGATCGATATCATTGTGTTACGACTGCTTGTTATGAATTGCATTATAAAACGCGTCAATGATCTACATGATATTTAATCAGGTAAAATACATACATATTTCCATTTCACAGAATGACATATTATTAAGAACGTCAACACCGTCGAAATCCTCTATTTTTCCCTCTGTTCGTCGCTGCTTTCGGCCATGACTGCCCTGAAGTATCACAAATACTCTACCATACACGGGACAATAGTTTTGGGATAGGATGGTTCATATTTCACGAAGATTTTTAAGGATTGAAAACCGATGCCCGAGAAACGTCACTTCTGCCCAGGAACCGACTATTATTCAGCAGGCCTTTCGTCGCCTTCCGTTCTTCCCTGATCTCAAATTTCACGCCCGCAAATTATTCCCGCCCGCATCGAAAGGCCTGCGGAG